GAGCGCCGGTGCTGGGAGGGGGTGGAGTGTGCACAGGCGTCAGCGCTTTGCGTCTGGAGCAGCTCGCGGTGCTCCGGGGAGACTGTGCCCTTTTGGCTCCGGCGCAGCTCTCCAAAGAAAACACAGGACTCCAATCTGAGTCCCACAGAAGAGGCACACTTTGAAAGAAGAGCTCTCTGTGCAGACAGTCTTTGGTGTGGGTTGTCTGTGGCGTTACGGATCAGATTTATTCATGGTTTTGTACAAAAGTAGGATTTGTTACACTTTTTTATGGAGCTGAGCTTCAGAAGTGTCAGCTGTAAACTTCCAGAAGGTATTCTTCCGAGACATGAAAGACGTGACTTTTCGTCGTGAGTTGCTTGTCATTTATCCAGTGTCACCAGTACAAAACGTACCACCTTCACTCACACACCCTGTGTAAGTAAGATTGTTTATTTATTCACCCCCGCGGGAGGAATGTTTTTCATTCTTCCAGGACAGGAACCTTGTGGCTTCAAAAGTGAGTGTGCTGGAGTCTTGTGGTCTGTTACAGAGAGTCGTGAGTGTCTGAACCTTACAGGAACCATGTGAAAGCAGCAGAGATGAAGTGGTTGTGATGGCTTGCCTCATTCGCAGGAACAATGACACAGAACACTTAACCAGGTTTGGATTTTGGAGTAATGCCAAACCCCAGAAGAACAGAATTAAGGAAGCGGTCTCCTGTTTCTCTATAGAGTCTGAATTTCTAAGCAGAGCCAAACTCAGGTATCCCATGAGCACAGACACAAATCAGACAAAGTAAGCACATTTTATTATGACAGGATGTTCCTTTGGGAATGATGTAAATACATTTTTTGCTGAGAAAGAAATCTTTGGGGGAATTAAAAGTTTCTGTCATAAAACCAATATCCCAATAAAACATTTTTTTTATTCAGTCACCAGGCATAAACTACTCTTCCAGGAAGCAATTTAAATTTATAGGGCAAAATTAAAACATATATATATCCATTTTAGCATCACCTAATGATTTTAATCAATACAGTGCATTCCTTAAACACGTTCTCTTTTGTGTGTATTTAGTTTCTGAAGAATCTGTAGTCTGTAACCATTAATCCAAGCTTCTTATGAATCTATCAAAATAAGTGACATTCCTAACATTAAGCATCTTTTTTTATCAGCTGTGGGCTCCATGCTGGAATTACTCCTGATATTAAATAGTATTGTAACTTGCGAGTGGAAAATTCCTTGTTGCCAGCGTGGAAGGGAGTGGATTATGTGGCTTACCCTCTTAAAGTGCAGCCTGCAGTCAGTAAACCCAGCCTTTGATTTTAAAAGGATGAAAATGTTCAGGAATTGTAACTTAAGAAGGCACAGGGTAAAACAAATTTGGGGTGCTTGAAGTGTTCCAATATAATGAAGGAAACAGCAAACATGAATGTGATCGCATATCAAAATTCTGTTTGCACTATTCACACTTGTTAATGTTAATAAACTTGAGACAAAATTACTGATTGCTAGCTATGGCGTGTGGCTCATTTTATTAATTGAATATTTGCTTCTTTTGACAAAAAAAGACAGCTTAAATCTAGATAGATACTTTATTGATCCCGTGAGGGAAATTGCAGAATATACTGGCTCACACCGAGTTTTGGGCAGGATTTCGTTTAGCTGGAAGCACGCAGCTATCAGACTTTTCAAAGTAAGTTTCTGGTATGCAGACTCGTTATATTTCTTGCAGCAGTTTAAACTCTGTAAGCAAGTGATGCCATCGAATTTGGAGCAAATCTGCAGTGGGGAACGAAATGTAGAAAATGTTTTAGTGCACGGTGTGGTGCTACAAAGATGTTTGAAATATTTAAGCAATGTTTGCCCCAGATGTATAGTCAGGGGTTTTACTGCTACACCTGGATTAAATCAAGACGACTTCGATCCTCCTGCCAGTCACATCTCACAAACCCAGTGCTCGATGGCATCGTTTTGTTTGACAGACCTCTTCCTTCTACCTAATGGCAACCTGCCATCAAGTAGTGGGTCTGTAATTTGTGATGGGCGGGTGGGTCGAAGTTTTTCGATTTAATCCAGGTCTCAGATTGCAAATGGAAAAAAAACCAGATGAGGTTGGTATCAAGGACATATTTATCACTGTAGCCTGAGACGTTGTAAGCAATGCACTAGTGCCTCCTCTTTTCCTTGCTTGATAGGCCTGTCAAGTGGGGTGAGATTTAAAGTTTTACTCAGTGGTGGAGCTCTTGTAGTGCTCTGGGAGCATAAAGGCTCCCTACAATACATCAGTCAGTTAACGTGTAATATTTGTGAAATGAAACTGTCATATTTCATCAGAGACTTTTAATGGAGTTCATAACAAACATTCAGGAGAGAGACAGTGTCCCCGGCTCCTGCCAGTCAGCTGCTCTCTGTTGTGATAAGAGAGGACTTCACACTTCCTTTCCCAGCATTCTTTCCTTGGGCTCTTTGCCACCAGCTTCATAGCCACCTCTGATGCAGAGACCCGCTTTCTAAGAAGGGGCTGTTTTAGCTCATCCAGGTGGCCAGACACAGGTGGTCACACCTACAAACCAAAATGTGCTCTTAAATCTTCATTTCACCCACTAAGTCATTATGTGCAGGAGATGCACTTGGCACCTCTTGAAGTGTAGATATACTGCAAGTGTGATAACGCACGATGTAAACATAACTTCTGGCCGGCTGGTGTCCCGATACCAACCCCCAGTTTAGGGATTAATGTAGACGAACAAATATTTAGTTTAAATAGATAGTTTATTGCTATTAATATCCCCCTGCTTTTTATTAAACAAAAATACCCACATACTGTACATATTGCCAGACTGTTTTCAGACTTCCTGTGATATTCTGTGACAATTCAAGAAGAGGACCAAAGATGTCTGGTCTGCCATGTGTGTATATTAGCATGAAGAAAGCTTTCTTATACCTTGAGTTTTAAGTCAGGAGCTTTCCTATTATCAAGACCTTAGCTAAGGCAATATGCTGACTGGGATGCGATCTTGACTTTGGGCAATGTTAAGGGTATTGGGCTGGTTATGTCCCACTGGCTGTACTATAATAAGATTTCAAGAATCTGCGGGGAGGAGAATTTACTGGAGCACAACTCCCCCTAGGGCATTTTCATAGAAATTGGTTCCTTCGTTCGCTCGAGCCTCCCTAAGCCAAGCTGCCTGTTTCCTTTTGTTAATTATCCTGCATTCTTTCTCTGCCTGGACTGAGTTAAACCACGGTCTGCAGAGCCAAAAATTACAGTCTGCTGTTGATCATAATCCAGGAAAAAAAAGAGAAAAAATAACTGAGAGCATGAGCGTGCTGTAGCCCACAGTCATTGACATAGCTAGTTTATCACTGCAACAAAGCCACAGCACTTCAGACAGAAGGGGCTCCTTAACATTGCATTGCATTTCCACTGGGTCACCCTGTGCTGCAGTGTAAAAATAAGTCACACATTCAACAGCACCACAAGATTTTGAGGCAGCAGCTTAAAAGTTAAAGGAAATGCATTTGCGTTCTTATTTTTCAAATAAAATCCTGCATTTACTTATTGCAACGTGTCTGGTTGAAGCGCAGATATCCATGCTAGCATAATTCAATAAACTCTTTGTTACAAGAAAGCGTATGGATAAAGGAGAAAGATTAGCTTAAAATCAGCTTCATAGCAATAAGCATCACGAATATAGGAAGTGGGATCAGTCTTTTCAACCTCAGATACTGCGAACTAGCCCTGAAGTATTGCGTTGAATGGTTTACTGTAAATCCTAGATCACCTAACACATACTGTATATGAAAGGAAAACCTCTGAATCGCTATTTTTAGCCTGAAATGGTTTACTTTAAATACGAATAGATTTGAAGTGCCTCGTCCCTCGTCCCCTTGAAACTGCATTAAATGCTGCATGTACTGTATATATCAAATAACAATATGCAAGCAAAATAAGTGTTAACGGATATTTTTGTGCCAGCTCAGCTCTCCCAGTATTAAAAAGAATCTGAATTGAGCGATCTTCTTCTATGTTCAGTACTCAGTGCATTTAAAGCCACATTGTGAAACATATATTGTTTCAAACTTCCAACAGAACCTCATCCCTGCAGCAGAAAGATATAAACACCTCTGTTTGATGCATGAATTTGCATCACTGGGTACTGTTACGCTTTTCTGGATCGGCAGACATTGACGTGGGGTGAAAGCCTTTATCACAGAAACCAGTGATGAAGTTAATCTGAAGGTCTTAAAAGCAGTGATAGTGCCCCAGCGCTAGACAACCTGGACAACAGCCTGATTGGTTTGTGTTGCAGGCTGCAGCCCCTCCTCCCCCTTGTAGACAGTGTCAGCCCATAAGAACCATGCCAGCTCTCGCAATGGTCCTGAAGCAATTAGGGACTTGTATCAAGGACAGCCAGAAAGCCTCCTGAGTGCTGAGCACTTAACTCTGCAGGGTACCTTTGTGACTTCTAAATCCAAAAGCAAAACACGAAGATAAATGACTCTGTAAATACTGTATAAAAAAATAATGTACAGCTGTCCCCCCAGGCGCTTTTCTGGCCCGCACAGGGGCTATTGGCTGGACTTTACACAGGCAGGAAGCTTGTCAGAGAGGGGTATTCATAACCAACTCCTCTGTAGGAAGAGGACAATATGTAGCACTTTTTCCTGCAGGGCAGGCTTGAGAACGCATGGAGAGGCTGAGCAAGAAGACAAAGATAAAGAACAGTGCTGCAAATAGCAGAGCTCTGCCCAAGAAATGTGCACAGCATCTAGACTGCAGTGTGTATTTAACCTGCATTTGTGTCATTAATTCATATTAATATTGGGCCAGCTGTAATCCAGGGATTTTATATCCCATTAAAAAAATATATTCCCAACTCCAAAGCAGCCAGCTTTGAGCCACCAGGACTGAATACCCCTATTCTGTTTCTTGTCGGCAATAAATAATAATAAAGAATTAAAATTAGCAGTGTCAAATGCTGTAAATGAATGGGCCTTGATTTTGCTTGCAGTTTTCCTGGGCGTGCTGATGGTACGAGCCGAAACGGAGATGAAGAGTGTGGTGGGGGACAATGCTACCCTGCCCTGCCACCACCAGCTGTGGCAGATGGACCCCAGGACGCTGGACATCGAGTGGCTGCTCCAGAGGACTAACTCCAAGCAGAGGGCGGTAAGACAGACTTCCACTCCAGCACTGGCTGTGGATTTTGCATGTCCTAATTGGCATTAACCTTGGGAAAACATGATTAACATTCGACACATCCCCATGCTGATTACGGATGCCCACCCCGTTCATAACATTTCTGAGGCGCCAGCAGCATTTTAAAAACCACCTTGGAGAGCACTGTGCAAGACCACCTGCACGCAGTGCTCCGCCGAACGGAGGGAGAACAAAATCTGCTTGAGACACAATTAACCTGAGTGAACCAGGAAAAGTGATTCACTTCCTGGGAACGAAGTTTTAAAAGCTTGATTCTGTACATTTTAATCTTCTGTGCTACACAAAGGCCACTGTGTTGAACCATCAAAGTAGTTCAGTTAGACTGGGGAATATCAGTGTAAGAAAAAAGAACTAATGCTTTGATATTTATTATATATAAGAACATAGATTTTAATATTCAAGTGGTTGTTAACAGAGATTTGAGGGTTTTATAATTAAAATTAAACAGATCTGAACATTGGATTTGGAAGAAGACACATCAGCTGGCCGTGCTACAGAAAGAATAAATGATATATATATATATTTGTTCTGCTCTAAAAAAGAATGAGTTTGTCAACATTTTGCTTTCGTCGTTCATGAAAAACCACGGTCCCGGGTTGCCAGGCGGCAGTGCTGAGGCTTCGAAGGAAGAGACTGCCGCAACTTTGCTATTTTTGAAGCTTGTCTGAATCCAGGGCAGTAGACCTGTTCCCCTTTCCGCAAGTCTGGCATGGGGAAGTACACCCAGGAACATCACCAACTCCCCCATCAGCAGGAGGCTTGATGGGGACATGCATAGTAGCACTTTTGCTGACAGCTGTAGGTGACACAGCTCTGGTTAGCAGCTGAAGTGAAGCATCCAGTCAGATTCTGTGTTCCATAGGTAATCGTTTGTGAGACGAGGGCTTCTGCATTGCCGCTGGCAACAGATGTTGGTCGTCTGTGCGCAGCAGGCAGTAAACAAGAATTAGAAAGAGCAGCAGTCCGTGCAGCTTGATGCAGTCTGGCACCGGCGCTTAGCAGGCAGCCAGGACAGAGCAGCCAGGTGTGCTGTACACGGATGTGAGAACTGCACTGAGCTTTCGCTTCTCAGAGAAATCCCTCCCCCCCCATGGCTCTGGTGCGCACGGGCTGTGCCTCACCGTGCTGGAAGCCACCTTCAGGGGAAGAAAAATCAAAAACAGCTTAAACAACTGTAAAAAAAAAAGAGAGAGAAACGTTTTGCGCCGCTCTCCCGCAGGTGATCACCTACTCGGGCAGCTCGGTGTACGACGACCTGCACGAGAGCCTGAAGGGGCGCGTGGCGTTCGCGGCGGACTACCTGAAGGGCGACGCCTCCCTGCGCATCGCCGACCTCCTGCTGGCGGACTCGGGGCTGTACACCTGCAAAGTGAAGAACGGGGGGCACTACAAATGGAGCAACATCAACCTCACGGTTCTGGGTGGGTCTCGCCGCGCCGAGCTGAGCTTTCGGGTGTTATCATGAGCGGGCAGGGAAGTTGTAAAAAGTGCCTAGGAGAGAGAACTGACACTGTGCAAAATATGCGGTAGCTTGAAAGGGGGTCTCTCTTCCTGTTCTTGTAGCGCTGGTGTACCAGCAGGCTTACAAGTTCTCTTTGAAGCACCAGCGTGTGAAGTTGCTAACTGGGGCAGTTAAGCTGATGAGGGAGGCTAAGTTGTGATGAGAACCAATGGACACAGAGCTCTACAGGACCAGGTTCAGGCACCCCTGACCTAACGTAATACTTTAAACACAGAAAGTATGTAAAGGCAGAAATACAGGGGCGAGATACAGATACAGCACATACTGTTTCTGCTGAGGACGGCAGAGGAATACTGCAGGGATGACAAGCGTGTTTATAACAGAACCAGACTTACTAAAGGAGTCTAATAAAACTGTGTGAGAAGATGTGGCATTCAGTTTACCAAATAAAACACTTATGCAATCACAGTCACTTTTAAGACATTTTTATCGAAATGCAAATGTTTCTGTAACAATAAACCATTCGTCATTCCTTGTTTTTTATGTCCCTCCTCCATATTTTGTACAGTGTTTTGTATAGTGTTGAACTGTGGTTTAACAAAACTTTTACTTTATTTCCTGCCCTGTCTCGTATTTTCTGCTATTTGTCACTTCAGAGATTTACATTTTCTACTTAGCTGAAACCCCATTCAATATTAAACTCATACCGCAGTGTTCGATCATCTAACAATCAAGTTGCTTTATTTTATTTGTATATTTTATGTCTAGAGTCTAAGTGGGTTGTGATAATGGGAGTTGTGTAAATCCTGGATGGACCAAATGTTTATAAAAATCCTCTATCAATTACCCCAGACATGTTTTTTTCTTTAATTTATTAGAATAGAAATGCATACCGTGTAATTTAAAAATTTTACATCTGGTGCTTAATTTTTTCATTCTGCTTTCATAATTATGACAATGCAGAACAACAGGAGTCTGGAAAATAACGTTCATATGTATTTTCAGTTCTGGGGGAACTGCTTTTAAAATGTCAGTCACCTTTTTTGTGCAAGATGTAATCTAGAAGAAAAACAACAGGTGTAACACACACAATAAATAATTTTAGATGGAAATCTTAAAACAGACAAGAGAACATTATGATCCATTCAGTCACTTTTAGTAGCTGCTATATTCCTTGAGTCATGGTGATCCAGCAGGTGCAACCTGGATGGCTTTTCTGGGCATACGAGCTAATTTTTCACACACACACGTGCTGGAGAAAATTAAGAGACTCTAATTGATCTGAATGCTCTGCGGAGTCCTCCTTAACCAACATAGTGGTGGAGAAGAAACTCCTCCACACCACATTAGTGGCTTGTTTGCTGCACTTATATTCCAAAGAGCCGACCCTAACTCAGCCATAGTATAACCATATTGAAATCAGTAAACCCTAGGTCAGTGCAAGAGCACTGAACCATCAATACTCACTTTTATGAGAACTCTACAACTTTCAAAACGAGTGTGACCAAAAGATGGAGATCTGTCCAAGAGACCCCTTCTTCTGTGTTCTCTTCCTCTTTAAGTAATGCCTCAGATTCCTCTGTTGGAAGGGCAGCTAATGCTTGCCCTTATTTTCTCTCTAATCAAGTCGTGAAGCTGCCTTCCAATGTGTTACACCCACCAAGACACCGCAGAGAGACAGTAGCTTCACTGCAATGTCTTTGGACTGTGGGAAGAAACAGAAGTACCTGGAGCAAGCCTGCATGATTATGCAGACAACATGCAAGTTTCTCATGGACAGAGACAGAATCAAGCCCGGGAGCTATGACGTGGCAGAGCCACCCACTGCACCACCCACAATTTATGATATTATAGAACAGTTAATTTAACTGGCATATTGATGTAGCAAGACTGCAGCTGCAAAGATTCCTATTTTCCTTTTTTCTCCAACATTGCTACAGAGACTTAATCATGTGTCTGTATATATATATAAAAAGAATACTCACTGCTTTTTGATGACCCCTTCAATTTCCAAGAGAGAAATCTTTTCCCATGCAGCAAGAGAGAATGATGGTTTGGCAGTGAACCCAAAGCCCAGCCACTCTTGAGAAGCTTCAACAATTCTGCCAGTAACGCACAGGACACACGAGAAAGATCATCTTCTCTCGTTTTTAACAGTTCAGCTCAAACTTGCCCCCGTGAGATGATGAAGGCAGAGGCGAGACCCTCTCTGCGTATCCATGTGGTTTACTATGTGTGTTTGAGCGCTTTTTCATCCCTTCATTTATATACAGTGAAGCCGTCGAAACCAAGGTGTTGGAAGGAGGGGACTCCGGAGGAAGGCGGCAGTGTGAAGCTGAGCTGTAAATCCTCCGACGGGTCTGATCCCATCAAGTACCGGTGGGAGAGAGTTCTGGGCAACGGCAAGAATGTGGGCAAACTGCCACAGCAAGCGCTGATAGGTGAGCTGGGGGTTCCACAATGATTCCCCTGTCTGTGTGCATTAGGTTTCATCCTCATTCAGTTGGAACAACAGTGTGCTCAGGTTCTCCTTACTCCTGCTCGATGGAAGTGTGTTTAAATCTGAGGCGCTTAAACAGGAGGCACTTCCTTTTGCAAAGGGTTGTGGGAGAGTGGATCTCGCCATGCTGTTGAAGCCAGTACCCTGGCATCTTTCAACAAATGGCTGGGTGAGCTCCATGTAATTAATGGATTAACTACTAACTGCCAAACAGGCCAGGTCGGTCAAATAGTCTGCTCTCATTTGCAACCTTTCTTACATTCCCAAGAATTGTAAAGGTATAGTGTACTTAATACTAAGAATCTGCCATTAATTAACCTGGAGAAGGAAATCACTCCCTGGGCTGTAAGATCGAGGCTGACAAAACTCCCCTTGTAAGGATTGAGCCATGGAGGCTGCTGCAAGTCTGAAGATGGGTTTGAGGGAGGTGTTTGAGAAAAGATGTGTGGAATAAGCATGGGGGTTTAGCTTGCGAGTATGTATACGTAAGGGAGCAAAAGTACAAGATGACAATTTGACCTCCTCCTAAATTTCTATTTAAAACTCCCATTTTGTGCTGAATGTAATTTAAACATCTGTCTGTGATTTCTATTTGTTTTTTTTTTCATTCACTGAATGAAAAAAAATAGTGTCTAAATGGATTTTTTATCTGGTTAAATAAAAGAAATGAAGTAAATTATAACTAGATTGAACCAGTTAAATAGTAAAAAAACATATTGGCATCCTGCATTACTGTAATTTTTTATTTAAATTCTTAAATCAAAGCTTGATTTGAAGGACAGCCTAGCAATGAGATTGCCAAAACATCCTTCATCTTGTGAGGGAAGAGCTTGGGAGTAGTAAATGGGATGAAGGAGGGGAGTGTGAAGGGATCTCCTGGGTGCAAGACCTAGATAGGAGAGCAGAAGTTGACAAGATTAGGATCTAACCTTCCTCCTAAAAATTGTTATAAAATCCATTAAATGGTCTATAGATGAGTTTTGTAACACAAAACACTTTCACTCTCTACTTCGCTTACTTTCATGGGATTTTAAGATGGGATGATGGGATCCTTGATTGGTCATTTCTCTGCATTTTAAAGTTTTTCCTCCGTGTGGGATTCTTACTTTTTTTTACTCAGATTTGCAAAACCCTGAAATTGTCACTTTGAGAAACCTGACACAGGACAACAGCGGCAAGTACAAGTGCACTGCTAGCAATGATGTGGGAGAGGAGAACTGCATCATTGAGATCGACATCCACTGTGAGTACCGGCACAGTTCTGCAAGATCTGTGTAATGAAGGATTCATGTACTCTTGGTAGGCCACGCAGTACCACTGCTTTAATTAACAATGGATGAACATCCCCGCCCACCCAGTTGAAGCCTGTCCAAGAGTCAGTATCTGTTGACCACTAGGACTGCATTGATTGATCTGCCCTTTTCAGACAACTGGGATTCTCCACAATCAATGTAGTAGTTTGGTTACATGCTAATGAATGTGATGGAGGGATAACATAGGATATTTGGTGTAACTGGCCTAGCTGAGAGAATAACAGCCCGACTATAAGGATGAGGCTGACTGACCCCCCTCTGCCCCCCCCCCACACATACATACACACAAACACTTTTGTGAGGAATGAGCCAGGGAGCTGCTGCAAGGGTGTGGATGGGCTGGCAGGGGAGATGGGAGAGAGATGCACAAAGGGAATTCCAGAAGGTGAGATATATGCGTCACGCCCTGTACTCCTAGAGGGCGCTCAACCTTTGTCCTGTTCCTAGTTCCCTGTGATTATTCATGTCTTTCCAGTGTGTCTTGTTGAGGAGCCTCTTTACTTCCTGTGTCTGCTCTGCTCCTGGCTCAGCATTTAGGGTACGGATGTCATGAGACCCGCCTATTTCCAGGTCGCCCCACGTCTGTGGCCTGAGGGCATAGGTTTCCTTACTGACATCATCCAACCCCCTGAGCCTGGGCTAACCTCCTTGTTGCCCCTTTTGCCACTATGCATAGGGTTGCTACTGCTCTCCTTGTCATTCCACGGCTTGCCCTTCCAACATCGGTGACGATATACTGTATATATAGCTAGGAGAGTGGAAGTAGACAACATTAGGATCTAACCTGGCTCCTGCGCTCTTGTTATAAATTCCATTTGGTGGCACTGGGCTTTGGCAGTTAGGCAGAATGCGTACATTTTTGCTTTCACAGCTACAGATTTATTACAGTTACCTAGGCTTGTAAACTTCCTCACTTTGAGCCAACTGAGAAAAGCCTTTGTGTGGATATGCGCAAGCAACCTGTCCTGCGTGATTCATACGCACAAAAAAAATTGATATTACTGGTGCTCTTTTTATTTTAACCAGTTCCCTTTACAGAATAATTAAATGGGAAAATGTAATGAGAAAATAAAATCCTTCATCTTCTTTGAGCTCACGGGTCAAAGCAACTTGCACATAAAGGCGCGATACAATCTGAGTGGAAAGAATCTGCCAAGCCAGGATGTGGTTATGGTGCTAATGGCTAATGCTAAATGCTAAAGGATAGAGTGCCTTAAAAGTGTAGGAAGCAGTGCAGGATTACCACGTAGCACTTCTGCAGTGTGCGCACAGTGCAGCAGGACTCCTGGTCTGAAGATGGTGTGCCGTACCTCTCTTTCAGATGTCCGGGAAGTTGGTGTGGTTGCAGGGGCGATTGTCGGGGTGGCGTTTGGAGTACTCTTAATCTTACTTGTCATCTGGCTGGTTTTCCGCAAGAAGGAAAAGAAGAAGTACGAGGAAGAAGAAACTCCAAATGAAATAAGGTGGATGTTTTTTTTTTTAATTTTGCGAAAGAAGCGCGCAGAATGAGATTGGTTTTGGGGTTTTTTTGTAAGAAAAAAAATGGCATTTAATGCATTGTCTGCACGCTATGTCCCCTTTGTATTGAAATAACCTAAGTAGGATATTAGTTTTAGAGGCAGGTGTTGACTGCTCATTGTAGCATCACTGGGTATTGTGGGTAATCATTGCATGGTGCTTCCTGTTGTTCCAGTCTCATAAACCCTCTGCTTTGTTTTCCTCCCCCCCACCCAGGGAGGATGCTGAGGCTCCTAAAGCCAAGCTGGTGAAGCCCAACTCCCTGTCCTCATCCCGTTCGGGCAGCTCGCGCTCGGGAGCCTCCTCCACGCAGTCCATGGTGCACAGCAGCGCCCCCCGGAGCCACAGGCCCCGCCCTGCAGCCTGCCTGAAGGAAAACGGGCAGCTGCCCAGCTTCCCTCAGTCTCCGCCCACCTACACGCAGGTGATCACCAAGGAGCCCGACACCGACAGCAGCAGGCTCAGCCCCGGGAACCTGGTCAGGATGGGCGCCACTCCCGTCATGATCCCGGCCCAGACCAAGGCCTTTCAGACTGTGTAGGGGAACCTACACACTGCGAACGCCCAGAGAGCGACGAAACGGAAGCCCACTGACGTACCATTAATAAAAAAAAGGCACTGTGAGTTAAAGAAAAAATCACATGAAAGGATGTAGCTGAAGGTATCGCGGTGAGGAATTGAAGACAGAGCTCAGTGTCTGAATGAATGCATTCAAAAGGGAAAATAAGGAGTGACTTTGCCCCCTCTTTGCGAAATACCTTGATAATGCCTTTCTCTTTTTCGTTTTTCATTTTGCTCTCAAATTTGAAGCCAAGGATGAGAAAAAAAAGTCCCCAGTGTGTTGGCAGACAGTAGGTTTGTACTGTATTTGTCTGTTCTTTTGTCAAAGAATCGCCGCATTCAGGAGAGAAGAGTGGAGTGGCACTGTAAAAGTTTCCATTTGAAGAAGAAAAAAATAAGTGAAAAAGCCAAAGACATTCCACCTTCCAGGGAAATATGTCAATGATCAGCCACCGTGCTGTTGTTAACCAGGTTTCTCTGGGGGACTGTGGAGAAACTGCATTGCTTCATCATTTGCTTCTGTCTCGTAACGACCTACGGCCATGCATACTGTAAGCCTGTAGGAAACACAAGCGAGCTTTCATCGCCTCATATACTCATCTTCAGGCACCGGGACACATCACGTGCATTCCAGATTCCAGGTGCTGGCAGCAAAGGAATTAAACAGGCCATCGTCCATCCGCCCATTGTCGAAAAGCCTCTTATGCATGGTTGAGGGCCGCGGCAAGTTAGACCTTCCCAGGTGGCATTGGTTTCCCCTTGCAGGTTAGTGCTGTATCACGCCTCCGTCACAAACCAAGACTCTCCAATCGCGGGCGCGTGGATAATGGGAAATCGCCCAGAGCTCTGCCCTTGACGTGGGCGCCTTCCCTTGGTTGGTATCAGAATCAGCAGGCAGCCAAGGAAGTATGTGGAGGCTGATCAGGGCAGATCAAAAACCAAAGCCACAGCTGATTAATGGATTAGTAGAGGCAGCTTTAAACATCCCTTCCGGTCCTGTCGTGTTTTGTTTAATAATCGACATGGGTGTCAATAATGAGTGTCAGTCCCTCATCTGCTAGACTGGTGATGCAGGGAGAGAGAGGAGTGACGTGGAAGGGGTCGACTTTACGTTTCATTTTGTAGGTTTGGGGGGGGAAACGAGGTTCCACCCTGAACGTCCTGCATTTCATGATTCATCTTAGAGAAAATTCCTAGAAACGGTTCTGTGGCTGTCCCCGCTTTCCCAGTGAAAGAGCTGCTGTATATCCTAAGAGGCCCTGTTAATACGGCTTTTTTTCTGTAAGATAAAAAAGCAGAAAGTAGAAAACCTTACAAAGAAAAGTTGTTCGTCAGTTCATCTGCAGCAACAGCGGACGGTGCAAAGTTTATTCTTAAATCAATAGCTATTCGCGGTAGCTTCTTCTCAATTTTCAGCGAGAAGTGATGACCTTCAGTGTTATGATGGATTTTCTATAGATATGTCTGTAGACGGTGTTAATTGGGAAAGTACAGAATCTTTTTTCTTCTCCATCATGACTCACTTGGGTACAGATTCTTAAAGATGTTGTCCAATGGAAAAAAAGCTGTGAATCTGTTAGAATCTAAAAATAGCATCCAGTTTGGGATGGTGGACCTGGTACATCACTGTTTTTTTTTTCCCTGTTTAACTGCATCATAGATTTCCTACACCAAAATCAGTTAATGAAACTAGGAATGTTATATTAAAAAAAAGATGGAATACAAAATATTTTTTTACTTGATATTACAGGGACATTAATCCTTTTAACCTTGACACATATAAATATGACCCACATCTATAAAATGAGGGGTCACATTTCTTTATTTAAGGAGAATGCAAATATAGGAACTTGTATACTGAAACTAGAGGAAGTCACTGAACCTTTTGCAGTCCTGATAATACGTAGGTGACATACCCTGCTAAAGGACTGAAGCAAGTATTTCAGACTCGATTAGTACACCGCTGTGTCTTCAAGAACTCCAGTATTTGATACTGTGCGGCTGCGAAAGGAACTGTGTGAGCAATAAAGCACTAATTACTGTCTGGCGGAGGCTGAGCAGAGTGGATGGGCTGTAACGCCTGTTAGCGTTTTCTAGTCACTTATTTTTTATCTCTAAAAAAGTAAAATAATGACCATCTGACTGGCGTTTCAGCCTTACACGAGTGTCGGCATCCAAGAGGGCGCAGAAACAGACTTGGTCGACGCGAGGCAGAGATGGAGCAGAATAATGAAATCACGCGAACATTTCACATTCTTTCCTTATTGAGAGAGTTTAACAAAAAGTCATACATTTTAGGGTATTCGTTTCGATAGCCAAAGCGTGCAGCAATTCACAAATGCAAGAACATAAAACACTTAAGATGCGTGAAAGAAACATACCTTCTCTAAGTGACTAGCTTAAAAAAATGCTTCGCCTACCACGCCTACACCTTCCCAAAACTCAGCATAGTTTCGTCTACAGTAACCACTCATTTGCGTGGTCTTTGTATCGATTACATTCCTAAAACGGGCGTAGCCGTACGAGTGACATGCGGGCCGGCACCGGGCCAGGAACGACCCTGGGGATCGGAAATCGCCCCCCGCTGAGCCCGTGTGGTCAAACCCATTGGCGGATGAGGTTACTCCGTCCGCCCGAGCGCTCCGCCTGTAGCCCGGAGAGCGAATGGCGCTGCTCCGTTCACACGTCCCGTCCCGTCCCGTCCCGTCCGGACCGGACCGGACCGGACCGGACCCTCTCACGGCTGGGAAGGTAACCTTCACCGGATTGCCGACTCACTAAACTGCTCTAACCGACTAGCAGCCCCCTTCCTTACCTGTTTATAGAGTGGCTCATAAAACTTAATTGCAACCAGCTGCAGCAGATCCTGTTGTAGCCAGACGCCAGCTTTTCTTCACTCAACTGTTCTTAAGACGCCCCCCAGCGGCTGAGACCGACAAGGACCACTCGGGCAGACAGCTGCTCCTCATATGCATCACATTATAATTTCAATTAATTATAACACAACAACATCAAAAGCAAGCAATCAGACAAGTTTTTTTTTTAAAAGGCAAGGTTGAAGAGATGTATTGTCGGCGTGTCTCCTAAAGTGTTAAAGCAGTCCAGTCTCCCTTGTGGTACTCCCAAGATCCAGAACAACAGCAGCTTATGTATCTAATGTAATGTGACTTTTCAGCTGAAAACTCGTTGCTGGGGTTTTTTAATAGCCACGGATTGGTCTTTCAGTGATTGGAGTGCTTCTCCCAGAAGAGACGGGCTTGTTATTTTTATTCCCCCAGAATAAATTTGATGGATGAATTGTCAGGAAATATTAAGAGTGACTGATGGAGCAGCTCCCTTAAGGATAGCACTGTGTGTTCGTCTTAGATAGCATGGCAGAGCCGAGCTCCTTCCAGACACAGTGTGGCGCAGGAAGGGCGTGAGGGGGGCAGAAAAGCTGCTTGCGAGGGCTGTGATTCTCAGGTGGGGTTTTTAAACAGAACAGTAACTCTTAGCACCCGAACGCCCGTTGGATTCTGTCTGCTCTATAAAGGAAAGCTGTGCAAAATATGATTTTTGTGATTTGTTTTTGTTCTGAACGACACCTTCTGCCTTCAGCAAAAGGGTACTAGGGGCTGGCCTGGCCCAGGGGTGTCCTCTTTTTAGGGCGCTTCCTTCTTCCTGGCGGGATCATGTGTCCATCAGTTTCTCCTTCATAGCCCACGATCCGGCACCCCATCCTTCAATACATCGCAGTGACGCATTGTGGGAAACCGTCGTCAGAAGGGGCACGCGGTTTTCCTTTTTTAAATTATTTTTAAGCACCTACGCAGCTAGCCACACAACAAGCCGATCGAACTGTGCAGCTCCTGAAAAACCAACCCACTTTCAGAAACTCCAGAGGCCGAAATAACGCCAACCATTCTGGGCAAGCTCGCACGTGAATGACAAAATGGCACTCCGAGACAGACGGACCCCGGGCGGAACACGGCGACAAATGGCAAAAGACACTGAAAGAGTGAACAAACAAACAAAAAAAGTGGGATTTATTTGGTCAGGATAAATGAACTTTAATTTGAACTTGACAGTTTCTCTGCCTGGTGCTTTCAGTACATGTATGACACAACATATAGTCTTCTGAATAGCATGTCTGTCCTGTGTTTTTAAGCGTGTATGGATTTTTTTAGCATATGAAACGAAAATCTGGGGAGGGGGGGGACTGCATTACTGTTCCAAGGAATTTGCATCGGAAAGCGATCATTGACCTGCCGCTCTAATAGAAATGCAACTTTGGGGATGCTGTATTTCTAAAACTGTAAATACATCAGAAGAAAATGTTTAGTATATTTCTTTATTTAATTAACTCCAGGTACTTTGCACTTTTATAAACTGTGCTTACATTGGATCAGTTCCGCCTGTAACAACCGTATGGGGCGCAGTGTCTGGGGAAGTCCACACTCGGCCTGTGCCTCTAGCAAGAGGATTCAAAACCACTGATTGCTTTCATTTCTCCATAATTGTCATTTCTTCTCTTTGATTTTGTAAACCAATGGGTTGTTTAAAAAAAAAAACACATGTAAATATGTCCGTCACAAGTAAATTGTATATTTTTACGATTTATGGATTATTACTGTTTTATTTGTAATAAAATAATCAGTACCAAACTGTTTGTTTCTGTGGGTGGGTCGCAGGTAGCAGATGCATTGTGTGAAAACACCGTGAGTGTGCACACCTGCAGGATGCTCACCGATCTGAGCGTGAAAACGTTGAGTATGCAGACCCGCAGGATGCTCACCAATCTGAGTGTGAAAACGTTGAGTATGCAGACCCGCAGGATGCTCACTGATCTGAGCGTGAAACGTAAATGTGCACACCTGCAGGATACTGATCTGAATGTGAAACATGCTTGTGCCGACCCGCAGGATGCTCACCGATCCTGAGTGTGAAAACGTTGAGTGTGCACACCTGCAGGATACTCACTGATCTGAGCGTGAAAATGTTGAGTGTGCACACCTGCAGGATACTCACCGATCTGAGCGTGAGTACCGACAGCGAGACACCGAGACTTGGCAATCTCTGGTTCTGCACAGATCTTGGTCCTGGGGGGTTTATAGGCAGCTTTATATGGTCTGTGGTCAAGGTCTGGGAAACTGGTTACACAGCAGTCATTGAGGAAACGTCCTCCAGAGGTCAGAGGAAAACCTGTCACTCTGTGGAGTCAGAGCTGGAGACCATCTCATGAGACACAAGTTAAGACAAGACACAAGGACAAGCTTTCCACCTTTTCACAGGGAGCTGAAATGATGGCGCTAATGAGTTGTGCCTACAAAATGTTACAACACAATACAAGAAACACTCTTTCCAAATCACATTCATATTGAAGTATACAGTGCAGGAGATTTAATTTCTCTAATTTTCAAATATCTCCTGGGCCCAGCGTTCTCTTCCAATGCTTTTAAAACCTTGGAAAGGTCTGCCTCAACAAGCAAACACAGTGGTACAAACTGTATTGCCATCTTCAGAGAAACAAGAAACCTTTCATTCTCCACAACATTCACACCCATTTCCCAAAATATTGTTGTTATATTAGAGTTAAGTAGCTTCTCAGAAGGGCATTTGTCTGTTGTTCAACACGCAGAATTTCCATATAATTAGCAAGTGAATTGCTGCATCAGATATTAGATGTGGAAGATCATTTTTTTTCAAACAGTAGCCGAAACCATTGCGTTTCCTGCTAAACATTAAAGCATTCACCGATGTTTTTTTTTCTGTGACTTACAGTAGCACAAGAAGTAGAATGCAACTCAGACCACTCTGTTTCTGATGAAGAAAAGCTGGTGTGCTAATCTGGAGTATTAACTACACTGTGCATCAATTCTGAAAAGCACACTGGATATTATTGTCATGCCTTGGTCGTGCATGTGTGTTTTGGTCTGACATTGCCAGACCATGTAAGGAACAATTTTTAAATTATTTCCCACTCTTTAAAATAGAATTCCTGTATTATGCATTAAGTACTGTGCTTTTGCATTCAGTGCAGTCTGATGCATTCTTCCTTTGTACTCCCACTCCTCAGTTTCTGGTGAAAGACCGTCAGCATTGGCCAGCTCCAATTCCCAAGATTTTTTTAAATATTTTAACAACGAAAGTGCTTTGGAAACAAAAGTACAACAGCGTCAGTTCAGAGATCTCCGAAGTGCCTTTATTTTCATGTTGAGAAAAAAAAATGACTGTTATCCTACAGCTCCTCTCAAGTCTGTCCATTTTAATCTTTTTTTTTTTTGGCAGTGTGGTGAGTGAATACCTAGGAACTGAGTTTGGATTAGATCTCTGACTGAAGAGCCCTGCTGTAACTCAGCATCAGGGGAAACAGAATTGCTCAACATGCTGCAATTTTCTGCTGAAGCCCTTTCAGAGAAGGCAGCATTCCTGAGTGTGCAGTTCACCAAAGGTTAATGGCTGGCTGTGAGAAAAGGTAAATTAAAAGCATAGCTTGTATGGCATATTGTTTCAGGAGTAATGCAGTCTGCTCCGAATGAGGTGGCTTGTCAGTAGTGCTACTAGGACTGTCCTCACATTGAAAAGCGTCCAACACTGCCACCTGGTGCCAGTACTGATTCATCAATCTTTTATTAAGGGAACAGATTGTAAAATTTAAATAATGGAGGTGAACACTTCTGTTTTTGAAAGGAGTGCACCAATGGGTGACTGTCTGGATACAGGCAGCTTCTTATTTTAGCAATGCCATTAAGGGCTCTTTAAAATACTACCATTGTTAGATGTTTAGATGTTAACTACTACTTAAATACTCCTATATTTTAAGCCATTTTTCCCCACTTAAAACATTTTCACCCATCTATCACTTTATTTACAAAACATTAAATGGCCTGTATCATTAAATATTCTTTTTCTGTGTATGGTAACTTCCTAATACAAAATCTAATATGATTAGATGGGATTCATTTAATTAACAAAAACAACCCGTCTTCAAATCTAGTTACATAAGTAACATTAATGAATAACATCAAGCTTGCTTCAAGTTATTACAAATGATATTAAACATAAGAAATTATATTCTTAACATCCATCAGGTTTATTTATTTTTTTAAACACCAGGGCAAGAAAATTAAAAGCAGATGTCCTGGTAAAGAGAGACAAATAATGGGGCTTAATTACAAGCACTCCGGGAATTTCAACAAAGGCAGTTCTTCTGAACAAATTAAAAACCAACTGTGGTAAGAAAAGGAAGAGTAACTTAAAAAAGAGAGACACTGCTTTTTCTGCCATGTGCAGCATCAATAAAGGAGGGTTTGAACACCATCAGTCCCACAGAAAGGCAACAGTTGGCCACTGTGTGCAAACGAGATTTTAAAGTTGTTTCTTTTCAACAACGTCCACAGCTTCCCTCTCCTCTATTCCACTGGCTCAGCCGGAAGTCTTGGTATTTTCTCCGTTCTCCACTATTTTACGCTTTTTCTCCTCTGTATTAGGCTTGAAGACGTTCCTTCTGTAAAACTGGAGCTCCTTAATGCTCTCCTGAATGTCATCCAATGCTCTGAAAAATTCCCAATGAAACAGTGCTCTAGAAGACATTTCTCGCAATACATGTGAGTTTTACTCTCAATCAACAGCAACACCTGCTTATGAATTTTATTTAACATTCTTTATACCCAGTATATACATGCACATATATAATTTTAATTAACTAACGGGATGAAAAAACACAAACATTACATGTGTGCACTGTACATTTAAAGTAGCTGTACCGAGTCAGCCCTGTACTTTTACATGAAGGTGTGCTTTAATCAGGCGTGTAATGAGAAGAATAAATCATACAGACAAAGGGAACCAGGTTGAAGTGAATGTGTTAAGTTTACCATGGTATATTCAAATTGGTATTTTTACTCTTTTGTAGGGGAGTTTGATCTTAGTGTTGCTATGGTGTGCTTTACTGTACTGGATCAAGGAAAATCCATGACATACCACAGCAGATGTTTCTAACTAATTCCTTTGGCATGCCAGGCTTTGCTCACAGTCTGGCATAGCCAAGGCCTGCTGAAACCATAAGAGAGGAAACCACAATGAAAATGCTATGAGAAACTTTCAGAGATGTTGAAATCCGGGCACTGACTTTCTTGTTTTACTTAAAGCGTGGCTTTCAAAGGAAAGGATGAAAGCACTACAGGCTTCTGAAACACTCAAGAGCGTTTTACAGCCTTTCCTGAGACACTTGACAGACCCCCCTTTCAACACTGCCAACAGATCCCAAGACTTGCCTGTGTGAAGCTTTCTTCTTTGGGGCGAGCTTGTACTCCTCTGGAAACCAGCGCCTAGAAGAACAAAAACCCTCACTTGAACAGACTTCTGATTTCACAGACAAAATCCAAAAAGGGAGGAATTAATTACGTCTGTGAAATCAGAAATACGGATCAGCCTTTTCCCCGCAATAATGACGCAACGCACAAACTATAAAACCGCATTAAAATAAATACTACACAGGGTTGAAATTCGGGAATATCAATGATGTCCTATAGGGGTAAGATGATTGCTTATGATGGGTTTGTGTTTCATATGATTTAGCAAATTTTATACAGTAAATTTATGACGCGTTATATTGTATATTTATGATAAAAAAAGCACAGGAACACATTTCTTTGACTGTGTTGACTGCAGCTTCTTAAAAAAATAAGTCAAAAGAACCAGTAAGCATATGTAGTATGTATACATACACTGTATAGATACTGTATTTTCTCATATAATAGTGCCTTTTGAGGCTAAAAAACAGCATGATTTAATGGACATTCAGCAATAACAGACACCCCTTCCCCCCTATTAAGCTGTTAAACCAAGAGTTTAAAAAAACCTGATGAAATTTCCCTGCTGTGTATGATAAAGGGAACAACGGCCAACGTCTTCAGGCACGCAGCCTGTCCTGTGGCCTGAGGAGAAACACTGCTAGGCAAGTGAGAAATCTGGACATGAAACCACACACATGGCACTTTGATTTCCTGCCGCCCTAATATGCGACTGTCATCAAACATGCACTCGCATCTACACTTACAAAACATGTGAAAACGTCCAGGTGCGCTAGAAAAATTGTTACTCCTATTATCGGGAAAGCTGTTCTTTTAGAGCACCCTTTGAAACTTTCACGGTCCCAAAGCCTTAATGAAGATCCTTCAGTGTTTTACCTGCAGAGCTCCTTGATGGTGCTGACGTCAATGATTCTGTAGTGAAGGTGGCGCATGAACTGAGGCATGTGCTTGTCCAAAAACTTCTTATCGGCATGAACCGAATTCCCTAGAAAGACGTCATGCGGAGAAAAGCACACACATTTCCGCGTTTCTTAAAGCCCAGTTTGTTTTAACTGCTACTGCTGCAGCATATGTCAACAGCATCCTTAAGGAAAATGATTACATCAGCACTGTCACTGCGGACACAGGGAATGTTAAACAGAAGCAATGATGTGAAGACTAGATTATTGTTTCTAACATGGATTAAGATAATGTGAACAGCTGACTGAAGATTTGATTGCAGATTTCTTAGAGTGTGAATGAGGTTATGTTCAGCAGATATCAAGTCTACACACTCTTATTGAAATTTCACCTTGGAATCATGGATTAGTTTTAGTTTTAAAAAAAACTCTCAATGTCTCGATTGCATAAGTCTCTGTCAATTTAACACACCTGGATTTTGCAATTTTATCCCACTCTTCTCTGCAGAAGAGTTTAAGCTAAGTCAAATTGTCCGTTGTCGTATGGTCACTTGCATTGTTAGGTGCCTTGGGGCAAGCTCGTTGTGAAAGGCGCTATACAAAATAAATTGAATTGAAATTGCAAGGGGATCTCCTGTGCACAGCCCTCTTTGGGTCAGTCCGCAGATTTTCTATAGGACTGAGATCCAGGCTCTGACTGGTCTATTTTTAAGCCATTCCTTGATTGACTTGGCTGTGTGCTTCAGATCATTGTCATGTCGAAAGGTGAAATTCTTCTTGAACTTCAGCTTTCTGGCAAAGGGCAGCAGGTTTTGTGTCAAAATATCTTGATATTTGGAGCTACGCATGTTCCCCTCTATCCTGACCAGAGCCCCTGTCCCTGCTGAAGAGAAGCATGGGCTTGGATGTTCTTTTTTTGCCTTTTAATAATAAGATCCCATAGATCTTGTTAGCTCCTTGTGGACCATGGTTATCTCTGCACTAAGTAAACAAGATACCTTTGGGGAAATCCTACAGGAACAGCTGATTTTATTTAGGACTAATCAGAATTGATGTCAGGTGAAGGCAAATTACCTTTGTACATGATTTGGAATGTGATTGGTTAAATCTGAACACAGTTACATCCACCTTTATAAAGGCTGTGCACACTAATGCAACCAAGGGATTGAAAGTTTATTTTTAATTTTCTTTTCCTAAAAATGATCCATTTGTTTTTTACTTAAATATTGTTGTTTACAAGATCTTATTAAAGGTGAAAAAGGTCTGACATGATGTGTCTTGATTTCAGCCTTTCCCATCAACAAAAACTGAAATTTCAATAAGGCTGTGTAGACTCTTGATTTCCACTGTATATGATGTTTCTGCCGAAACTCCAGACTAAAGTGAGCCGCTCAGAGCCGGGCTGCATACCTGCCAGAGGGCACTGTCCCGGGGGCGTGTGCTGGCGCACGAAGGACAGGAACTCGTACTCGGCCTGCTGGAGGGATATCTTGCTGTCCCGCACCGCCTGCGTCAAACCTGACTGGGGACGAAGGAGTGGAGAGACAGGGGCAGAAGGCTGAGCCTCTACAGTGAGAGTGACGGAGCGTCTCCTCACGGCCCGTTCCCCCAGTAACGCTCGATGGGGCCAGAGGCCTGCGGGCCCCACTCAGCCACACAGCAGCTAACAGCCACTGTGCAACTCCTCCTCTCTGACCGCTTACAGAAACCCGGCAAACTCTTTTAAAAAACATAGCATGGGTGTTTAGACTGTTCTACACATTTTCAGCCATGCAACCATAAAACAAGTACAGGTTTCTTCTCTTTTCAGCCTGGAATAAAAGAAACACAACATTTCGGCTGCGACACCTGAAGAAGGCTCCACAGCGGAAACGTTGCGTTTCTTTTCTTCTCTTTTCAGCCTGGAATAAACCTGTTCTCGTTCCTCTGAAGCTGACGCGTGCTGACGCAGCTGCCTCCTCGAACCACTTCAACCATTGAAAAGAGAGGAAAACGCTGCACTGCTGCAAACGTCCGAGGTGGCGTGGGGAACTGTGCTGTGCCGAGGACGCCTGCACTCACAGCTCGCAGCGTGAGCAGGCCCTGGCCGTGAAGCAGCAGCAGAGAATCCGCGTACTTACCTGGCCGTGGTGTTCCTTGCACCAGTCTGACATGCTGTCCAACAGTTCGTCTGGCTGACTGATGATTAAATTGGGGCCCTGTTCATCCAGAGACAACGAAACAAAATTCTCATTGGGGCGAGGGTTAAACACACTAAACCGAGAGAGAGAGAGAAAGGACAAGACCCGAACTAGCACTGTCATCAGCTGCTGCCACAGTAGTTTAAGTAGTTACCTCCACCACTATGTTGAGCTCAGAGTCTGTGATGATGCAGGCCATCTCAATAATCTGGTCCTTCTCGATGTCCAGGCCTGTCATCTGCGGGAAGACAGAACAAGAGGAAACGCGTTTTCATGCTCCTAAGGCCCAGTTTCGTTTGAAAGGTCGCGCATTTCAGAGCGAAATCGAGTCATCTGTAAAGCTTCGGCTCTCGGGGAGTTTTCGGTGCAGCTGCTGCAAGTGACTGTGGTTTTTTTTCTTATCGAAACAAAGGCCCCCCGACCAGGAAACACGACAAGCTTTTCGGCTTTACATGGTGTGAGCCAAGAGGAGCGCAGGGCTGGTCTCCCAGACCCACGCCTGGAAGACTAGCTGCCGTGCAGGGAACGAAATGATGCTGAACCATTTGGACAAAATCGTCACAGCAGTAACTATTGCTACTCTCCCGCCACCCCACCCCACATTTATCTCTTACAGTCTCTCTCACGACCCTTTTGGAAACGCAGATCAGAATTACTGGTATCTGTTGTAAAAGTAGCGCAGGAGCTACTTTCTTAAGATTGGGTTGGCGTCAACGAAACGGAGAACGCACACACACAAACTAAAAAAAAAAAACACTTTAAAAACAAAGCCCAGACTACCTACTGTGATAATCTATCTGCTATCTTAACTTTAATACGAAATGGAGAAAGGGGCTGCACGTAAAACGGTCAGCTAATGACACCCAGAGGCAATAGCATTAGGCTTTTTCCGGCGACATACGAAAGCGCTGGTTCCCTACACGTCCGCGAACAAAGCACGAGTCTACTGCTACGGTCCCCGAACCAGCACTGGAAGTTGCTGAAAGTTACTTCGGTACCTCCAGATCCACCCACACCAGCCTCTGGCCCATGCTCTCCGCGACAGAAGCTGTGGAAGATGTCATCTCGGCTGAGGGGCAGCGATCCACTCCAGCCTCGGACAGACCGGCCACCCCGCCTGCTCGTCCGCCCGATCTGACCGCCGCAGCACGGACTGCGCAGGACCGGCCCGCAGCAGCAGTCCTGGATAGCGTGCGGGTCGCGGAGGGGACCGAGGCGGCGGGTCCGAGTGCATGCAGACCGGTCACGCCACGCAGTTTCAACAGCGTCGCAAGACCCCCTCTGCCAGCAGTCCACGCCGATCTGGGGAACACCGGCATCCTGGTCGACTTCCGATCCCGACTGTCGTAAAGATAAACAGTCACGGAGCGGGGGGAAAAAAAGTGATTCACAGGATGCAATCATGATTTTTAATTTTATTTGGATCTTAAACGACCTTAAAGACCGTGGTCTTTAAGGGGTATTACTTGGTTACGTAATTAACCTAGTTCTTCCATGTCTTGGTTTTGCAAACTTTTTGGTCAATGCAAAGTTTACATTTAGAATAGTTGGGGAACCTGCAGAATAATAAGGGTAATCACGTGTACACGTATTACATATATTTTGGCTGCTTTTACTGTTGTTTTATATGTCATAAAGGTAACTGTTTTTTTACTTAAATGCATTTAAAAGTGTATGAATTACTCTTCACACAACGCTAACCATCCTAAGAGCAGAAACAGTGAACTCAAAACGAGGCTTGCGGGGCAAAGTTTACAGCACAAGAACGAAGCTTGTGGGGCAAAACTCATTGCCCGGAAATGCGGCAAGGAGGGCAAAGGTCACAGCACGAAAACGAGGCAGGCGGGGGTCAGGGGTTACAGCACGAAACCGAGGCCAGCGGGGCAAAACTTAATTGCACGGAAACGAGGCTTGAACAGCGGCCTGCCTGCCTGTTGGTTACGAATTTCTCTTTTGCTCTTGTGGGTTTTTTTTTAAAGTAACTGTAATTCATGTTTTAAACGATTTTAATTTAAATTAAATAATGGGGGTGTCCGATGAAGTCGACAAGACGCTGTTTGTTGGAAATTTGGATACAAGAGTGACCGAAGAGCTGCTGTTCGAGTTATTTTTGCAGGTAAGCGGGAGGAGGACGGGGGGGGAGCCTAGCTGTCTCACTCGAGCGGACTAGTAGGACATGTTTGTTGTTTCCCCACAGTGTTCGGCTTTATTTTCCCCGTCGGACGCTGTATCTGGCGGCGGCCCGCCCGGAGCGAGAGCACGCGGTTTAGCCGTTGGCGGTTTGAAAGCCGGCGCGTGAGGCAGGGCTGCGCGCGGCCCGCCGGGTCGACCAGACCAGCAGCCCCGCTGTAGCTAATTACCTCGTATGACAATCGTTATTAAACGACGGAAATGTTACGGCGTTCCCATTATTTGTGTAGCGTAAAAGTTTAGGCGCATGACGGGGTAAGGAGAAGTGCGGTACCCGAAGAGAAGTCCAATACCAGTTCGCGCGGGTCCAGAAAAGAATTTAGACGGGACGTAAGGGTTAATATCTTCACAGTATGTTTGCGACCTAGTGAATTCAGACCCTAGTTCAGCAGTGGGTATCAGTTGGGCAGTTTTATTCAACGAGTAGGGTGCCAGTCTGGTCCTCCAGTACCCCTTACAGCAGCAGCCTGGTTTTCCCAGTGGTAACTCTGCCCTCAGACACGCAAAACTCTGTTTACCTCAGTTGTTTCACTTGTTCACATCTCAAAGCTACGGGGGGCTTAACTTTTGTTAAAAGTACCAGAGATTGTGAGATGATTGATTGGTTTTGTTTGGCTGGTTTTCCCTTGTCTGCAACAGGCTGGCCCTGTGATTAACGTGAAAATCCCGAAGGACAAGGATGGCAGGCCGAAGCCGTTCGCCTTCGTGAACTTCAAACACGAGGTGTCTGTGCCGTATGGGATGGACCTGCTGAACGGAACCAGCCTGTTTGGGAGGCCACTGAAAATACAGTTCCGATCAGGTAACTTGATAAC